TGCCTGCCAGGGTCAGCTCTCAGCCCGGCCAAGGAGCTGCCACGGCCCTGCAGGGAGAAGGTGTGGGGGGAAGGAGTGACCCCTCAGGGCAGGGCAGGGCTGGGCAGGGCTGGGCAGGGCCCTTCAGCTGCAGGCTCCGGGCTCCTCACAGCTTCAGCTCCACCTCCTGCACATCCCCCCAGAACACCTCCCCCTTCCCAGCCACCACAGGCTGTCTGGGATCTGCTCTGCAGCCCCTGCCCAGGCAGAGCTGCCCCTGGGCACTGGGCTGGGGATGGCTCTGGGAGCACTGGCAGGGAGCTGAGCTGGGCACGGGGAGGGGCTGCTGGCAGGAACAGCTCCTCACCCAGAGACAGGCAGGCAGGGAGAGGGAGCTGCTGCCACAAGTGCTGGGCAGGGGGATGTGGGCCCCTCCCTGCTGTCCCTGTGGCACAGACCCCTTCCCTGAGCAGCTTCTCCCTGGGCTCCTTTCCCAGCCTCAGCAGAGCCTGTGCCCTCAGGCCCACAGGGGCCGGGCTGTGCATTGCCCTGCAGCAGCCAGAGCCCAGACAAGGACAAGGCCCTGATTTCCAGCTGTCTCTGTGTGTCCCTCCTCCCTTGGCAGCAGCATTGTGGCATTTAACTGGAAATGCTCTGGGCAGCTGCAATCAGCATTTAGTGTCTCAATCTGGGAGGGGAGAGATGAAAAGGTGAGGACTGTGTCAATCTGTTCTTTGGACATGGATTCCTGGATCTCTGTGCAGTTCCTCTGTAGGGGAACAGTTGAGTGTGATGCTCCTCCAGCTCCAAGCTGCCAGCACAGGGCAGCTGAGCACAGGACTGATGGGCAGAGCAGCTCTTCTCTCTGCACTAAGGGACCGTCCCTGTGCCCCTCAGAACCCACAAGACTTGACCTGCAGTGCAATACGAATGTCAGGGATTTCAAACATCCACAACCACTCCTAACTGTGGCAGGTGCAAGTGGGTGAACAAATACAAAGAATTCCCTCAGCTCAGTCCTTCAGTTGGGTAAATTGCAAACAGCAAAGCTGAGAAGCTCTTTGATGTATCACGAGTACATTTAATTTGAGATCACCCTGCATTCCAAGTTCCCTCTCCCAGCAGAGCAAGAAGGAGTTCTTGGGAGCCCATCACAGAATTACTGCTTCCAATGGTCCCCTCAGCCAGTAAAAACCAGAGCTCAGGGGAGGGAGCTGCAGGGAGGTCTGAGAGAGGAGAGAGAGCCTGAGAGTGGGGTGGCTGAGACGTGTAATGTTTGGCTGCAGAAGCCTGGTCTAACTCAGCACTGACTTTTCCTCCTCAACAGATCAAAAGACCCCGGGGAAGGAGCAAATGTCCAACAGCAGCTCCATGGCCCAGTTCCTCCTCCTGGCATTTGCAGACAGGCGGGAGCTGCAGCTCCTGCACTTCTGACTCTTCCTGGGCATCTCTCTGGCTGCCCTCCTGGCCAACGGCCTCATCCTCAGTGCCTGCGACCACCACCTGCACACCCCCATGGGCTTCTTCCTGCTCAACCTCTCCCTCACAGACCTGGGCTCCATCTGCACCACTGTCCCCAAAGCCATGCACAATTCCCTCTGGGACACCACAACCATCTCCTACACGGGATGTGCTGCACAGGCCTTTTTCTTTCTGTTCTTCATCTCATCAGAGTTTTTTCTCCTCACCATCATGTGCTATGACCGCTACATTGCCATCTGCAAACCCCTGCACTACGGGACCCTCCTGGGCAGCAGAGCTTGTGCCCACATGGCAGCAGCTGCCTGGGCCACTGGGTTTGTCTATTCTCTACTGCACAGAGCCAATATATTTTCCCTGCCCCTGTGCCAGGGTAATGCCCTGGGACAGTTCTTCTGTGAGGTTCCCCCCATCCTCAAGCTCTCCTGCTCACACTCAGGCTACCTCAGGGAAATTGGGCTCACTGTGGTTAGTGTCTTTTTAGGATTTAGTTGTTTTGTTTTCATTGTTTTCTCCTATGTGCAGATCTTCAGGACTGTGCTGAGGATCCCCTCTCAGCAGGGACGGCACAAAGTCTTTTCCACGTGCCTCCCTCACCTGGCTGTGGTCTCTATTGTTATCAGCACTGCAACATTTGCCTACCTGAAGCCCCCCTCCATCTCCTCGCCATCCCTGGATCTGACCCTGTCAGTTCTGTACTCAGTGGTGTCTCCAGCACTGAACCCCTTCATCTACAGCCTGAGGAACCAGGAGCTCATAAATGCCCTGAGGAAAATGATGACTGGATACTTTTCAGGAGCAATAAAGTGCCTGTTTTCTAGCGTGTAGCATTCAGAATGGTACTCCTTAATGGCCCAGCCTTCCTCCTCAGGTTTTTCATGGAGGTCATTGGGTTCTTCTTGCAATAATTTCCTGTGCAATTAAATATTATTATGCACCTGCCTTCTAATTTAGTGTCTACCCATTGCATTTGACCCAGAGATGGAAAAATGATGAATTGTGCTCTCTCAGTATTTAAACAAAATAAAGGACCCTGTAGTGCCTTCTTTGTCCAAGACCCTTCTTTTTAGATGTTCCTAAAGGACAGCACACTGCAGGACAGGGTGTATTGGCAAAGGAGAAGGGGACAATAATCCCAGCCCAGCAGCACTGCCAGGGAGCAGCAGTGCTTGGTCTTTGCAGAGCTGCTCTCTTGCCACTTCCACACTGTCCTCCTGAGCCCCTTTCTGGCTGTAAGGCCTGAGTGATCTCTGAGCACAGTCCTGGGGGCTGGAAGCCCTTGGAGCACAGGCAGGGACAGGCCCTGGGAACTTGTGAAGCAGAGCTGGGCTCCCTTCCAGCATCTGCAGGATGCTGTGGGATCTTCTGAGGCCACTGCATGGACTGGGTCACTTCTTCTGTCACCTTGCTCCAGGGCTGGAACTCTCCTGCAGTGTCACCACGACACTCCTGCTCTCTGCTTTCCAGGTTTCATTTTCAGATCCAGTCTTCCCCTCCTGTTCACAGGGACATCCTGTGAGTGCTTCAGAGCTGCCATCCTGGGGCAGCTCCTGCCCAGCGTGGGCAGGCACAAGGTCTCTCCACCTGCTCCTCTCACCTCCCCAGTGCCGCTGTTTTCTGCAGCCTCCTCATCCTTGCCCAGCACAGCCCTCCTGGCAGAGTTGGACACAGCCCTTGTTCTACACCCTCCTCAGGCACCTGCCCAACCCCCTCAGCTCCAGCCTGATGGCCAGAAACCTTCAGGGCAGGGAGGCACCAGGGAAAATGCTGAGCAAACCTTTCAGCTACACTCAAATCAAATTGGAGAGGTTGACCTTGAGGAAGAAATCCCTTCTCATTCTCCAGATCCACCGGGACAACCTGTGTTGTGTCCTGAGCACTCCTCTGGGAGTGTGGGATATGGAAAAGGTTTTGGTGTCAGGGATACTGAGAAGGCTGGGCAGTGTCACTGGGAGACCTCTCCCAAACCCTTGGAAAGGCCAGAGCCATCCCAGAGCTTCCTGGGGCATTGGCAAAGGCAGACATGGAACCAGTCTGCAAACAGGGCAGCAAGGAGGGTTGGCAGAGTTCCAGACTGCTCAGGCTCAGCGGGGAAGGGGATAGGGCAAGTCCTCCTGCAGCCATTCTCAGGCATGGGAAGGACAAGGCAGGAATTGCAGAACCCCTGTGGGAGGCAAAAGAAGAGGATGTTGTGTGCCCAGACTTTATCAAGGCCCTTGACATGGTGTCCTGTGGTCTCCTTATGGCCAGACTGGACTGAAGAATTAGAAGATGTGGTGGGTGGGAAGCTGGCTGAATGAAGAGTCAAATTATTCATGGTGCAAAGTCCTCTTGGCAGCAACTTCCTGATGAAATCCCTCAGTGACCAGCTCTTGAACACCACTATAGAAGATCTTTATTATCTCTCTGTAAAATGCGACAAAATGGATTTTCAAGTCCTTTGTGAGTCATGCCAAATATCAGGGAGCCCTTGAGTAACCTGTCCTGGTTTAAAGACACATATTGGGGTGGGAACTCCAATCAAATGAACTCACTTCCCTTTTATTCCCCACCAGTACAAGGAGACAAAATACAAGGAGGTACAAGTGAAAAAAATAGCAGCTTACTGATGAGAAATATAGCAGCAAAAACAACAATATCAACGGAAGAGTTCAAAGCAACAGCAGAGAGAGAAATTGCCTCCTCTCTCCCCCCTGACCCAACTCCCTTTTGTAAACAGATAAAAACAGGGATCAACAGGTGCCTCTCTTCCTCCTTTTCCACCTGAATTAACAAAGAACAAAAAGAAAGCCAGGGGAAAGAGGGGGCAAAGCAAAATGTGGAAAACTCTCTGGTCTGAGCTAAGTTGTGCTGCCCAAGAACACACTGACTCCAGAGGTGTCCAAGCGGGGCAGAGCCGGCGACTCTGGTCCGTGTGGTGGCGGGGGGGAGGCAGCGGCTCTGCTTGATTCCATGGAGTTCTGGGAAGGCACAGTGGGTGCCATGAGACTCCTCAGTTTCACCGTGGCCCCTTGGTTTCATGAGATTCCACAGTGTCCCTGAATTCCTTTGGTTCCCGAGCCCCTGCAGTGTCACGGTGCCACTTGATTCCGTGACATTACAAAGAATCAGAATGGCCCCTTCATTTAAGGCCAACTGCACATGGGGCTCCCTTAGGGGGAGTGTGGCCACTCAGACAAGGGAGTTGCCACCCCCCTGGACTCAGCCCTGGGGTCACCACATCTGGACTGGTCTGTCTGTCTGTGAGGTTCCCCATTCTGGAGGAAGGAGGAAGAACTGCAGAGGGTCTAGAGGAGACCTGACAAGATGGACCTTTATCCATATTGGAAATAGAAAGAAATCTCCACAAAGAGTAGCGTGGAAGGTTCAGACTGTAGGGGAGGAAAAAGAAATGTCACTCAACGGGGACCCTTGTGGTGCAAGAGGTCACCCAGAGGGAGTCAGGATCAGCCCATGGCTTTGTGTTCCAGGGAACAGCCAGAGCTGGTGCAGAGACATCAGGGAGGGTCTAGAAATGCTGCTGGGAGGGGGGTGGGAAAGCAGGAGGGGTGTGTGCAGCCTGCAAGGCCAGAGCAGCAGCAGGGCCAGGGCAGGACAGCCTGCAGGAGAGATGGCCAAGGGCTCTGGCAGGGCTGCAAGGCCCAAAGGCACCCAGGCCTTTGTCCCCTTGACTCTGGCAACTGCCTCTGCCACTCAGGCCACCACAAGCCACTTTCCTGGCAGGTTCTGCACTTGGTTTCTGCCTCACCCCTCCCTCAGGAGCCTGGCAGAGGTTGCCCAGTGTTTGGTCTTTGTTATTCCTCCCCCCCCCATCCCACTGCCCCCCAAACAGCCCTGAGCCAGCCGGGAGGGACAGGATCTGCTGGGCCAGGGCCTGGGGCTCAGGCCTTGGCCTTTGTGCTCCACAAAACCAAGGCAGGCTTTGCTCAGCATTGCAGGGGCCTGCCCAGAGCCTTTGTCTGCCTGCACTCCTGGCCTCCAAGGATCTGCTCCAAGGAGTCCCTGGGGAGGCTTTGTCAGTGCCTGCCCTCAGTGGGGCCCAGCAATGCTTCAAGGGACTTGCAGTTTGGCTTCTGACTTCTTCAGCAGCTGCTTCAATCTTCTCTCAGTACCTCAGCATCATGGGCTGGGCTGCAAACACACCGTGGGGCTCATTAAAATGCAGAAATCCCTCAGGATCTCTTTGTCTTCCTTTAATTGTCTTCAATGCAGTTTCAAAACAAGTCTTCAAAGTTTGTACTTTTTTTTTTTAATTCAATGATGGATATTTCTAAGTTCAGAGAAGAGGTCATATAGGTGTTCTCCAAGTGATCTTGATGCTGAGTGTCTCCTCAGGAGATCCACACGGACCATTGCTCCTCATCCCCCAACCTCACCAGTTCTGACATGGCCCATCTTGGACTGACAGCTGATGCAACTCCAAACACACTGTGGGACCCATTAAAACATTGAAAAACAAATTATTTTCATTCCTTTAATTGTCTTCAAGTCTTCAAGACTTCTACAGCTAATTGGAGTTCTTTTGTAGTTTAGCTAAGGAGGAAGATTTTAAAGTGGACATCATGAAAAATATATATTTTTTGATGAAAGGGAATGATTTACACAGAGCCTTGGGATGCAAGAGGGTCAGGGTGCAAAGGATTTGGATCCAAAGACAAGGGGGCAAAAGAGATTATTAGCACTTAATCACTGACCAATTGAACCAATTGTAAAGTGATTCAATAGCATTTGCTATAATTTTAACAGTGGTTGAATTATAGATTCACGATAACAACATTCACACCACAGTCAATTCCCACCCACACCCAGGCAGAGATGTGTGGACACATCAGTAGCTGGGTGTGGGTAAAGGTCCCTCACCAAAATTCTTCTTGTTGTCAGGGAAACACTCCCCCAAATCCCTTTGTGTTTCCCAACAGACAAGGGTCACAGCTGGAGGAGTGTTTGTTGAGGGGCACCAGAATTGTGCTGGGCATCAGTGAGGGTCTTTGGAGTGTTGCAAACTGGAGGGTTCCCGAGCTGCGAGAGGCTGCCAGAGGTGTCCCACTGAGAGGGAGGTGCTGGGGAGCTGCCAGGCCCTCCCTCAGCCCTGCTGGTTGTGGGCTCCCAAGGTGACTGGCTTTAGTGATCTGCTGAATTTCCATCCTTGTGACAGGAATGACTGGAGTTCCCAAAATATTTGGGAACTGTATCCAAACTGTTCCATTTGGGCTACAATTCAAGCAGGGAATGTTCCAAGGCTTTCATGGGGTGACTGATTATCCTGTGTTCCCCAGCTCTTACACCCATCCCAGTCAGCTGGATGGTTTATTGACAATGTGTCCCCAGGGGCGGCACCTCCGATGCCATAGAAACCCCTCCCCCTGCATCAGGAAACATTTGGAATTCAGGAGGTGTTCCAGTGGAGCATGAAAATGAACAGCAATTTTCCTAAAGCAAAGAACCCAGCAGAACAAAGCAAGGCCCCAACAGGTGCAGAGCAAAGGTCCCCTCATCCCTCTGTGCCCTGTGGCCGCTGAGGCGGCAGCGCAGGCCCGAG